CGACTCCCTTAATTCATTGAGATTCAGCAGCTCAGTGTTTTGGAAGCTTCTCAAATAACACTTCCCCCTTGGTGACTACTGGGTTTGGGTTGATATTTTTTACAATTGCACAGCGAGTGGAATGGGATCATATGCTAGGGGAGGGGCCCGGAAGCTTCTCTGAGAGAGAAGGGGAGTGATACTCACCACTGGGGCTCACCATGGGGAGATGGTGATGCTTTACGCCCTTCCTAGAGAAAAACGACCAAATGTGGCCCAACACCCTGCCGCCCAGGTCACTCAAGCAGTAGCTGCTGGCTCATAGTATTTTCATTCTTGTCCCATTTTTTAAAGCTTTTTAGGACATTCCATCTTGCTGTATTTAATTTTAGAATCCAGTAGATATCTAAGATGCCTCGTCTGCTCTTTGTTGACCCTATTACCCTGTCTTGATGGAAAACAGTCACAGAGGAATGTCCCCAACGTGACTTATCTGTTATGTGGGCTGTTCACAACCTCGCTTTAACCATCTCTGCCGCACACCCCTGCAGCAACGCCCGGGCTGTGACTTTTCCAATTCCCCACTCTGTTGAAACTCAGACCCGCTGGGGTGCCCTCTCTCCTCCCCCCTTTTGTTGAGCTAAGGCTGCCGCAGCAGCACACTCTGGCTTTGCATGTTGTGTTACTGGCTCTGAGGACGCACAGCTTGGTTAAAGGGAATGCTGCTAGGGGAGACGGACTCCTTCCATCCGAGAGTCTCGCCCCAGATGAATTGGCCATGGTTTGCTAAGAAATGAAATCACCTTTCAGGCTAAAAGGGAGCCTGACAAATGAGCCCTGGGGGGGAGAGACGGAGTCATCTATGAGATGGGATGCTTAAGTGGTAGGTTATTAAATTGTGTGAGGGTTGATGGTGAACTGCTGGTCTAGGTTCTGTGTCTCCTGTCAGAAATTCATTTTAGAACACAAGGCAAGATTTCGGGAACCTTGTTTTACATGAAATCTTGGTCTGACTAGGAGCAAACGCCCTGGAGACGATGATCAGCGGGCTGTTAGCCAGGCTGATGGACGGGGAGTGACTTCACAGGCTCTCTCAGGCGCTCCTTGGTCTGCTTTTTGTTTGTCTGTCTCCCCGACCCCTTTAGAGGTTTCTATTCTAGAGTATTTGAAACAGTAAAGGTGAATGAAGGAGACACACACACAGAGGAAGAAAGAGAACTACAAAAATGTATAGCCCTAAAAGTAGCCAGAAATATTATTTGATAGGAAAAATAGCGAATAATAAAGCTCACAATCAACTAGGTATATGCCATACATAAAATATGTCCATTTTGTGCCACTAAGCACATGAAATGGTCATGTATGTCTGTATAGGACCCCGAGGAAAATGTGAGTCTCGAGCAGGTGAGGGAGAACCTATAGGATTGCCCCATTTAAACAGTAACTGAAACCGGACATCTTTGCTTGCATGTTTTCTAATCCAAAGTTCTATAATTTGCATAAATTCTATTTTGCCTTAATCTACAAATTTTCATCTTCTAAAATAATTGATATTGAAAGGTGACCTCTTTTTCCACCCTCACCCCCCCAAAACAATCAGTGTCCTCAGATTTAAAAAAATAGAGTAGTTTCCCCTTATCCTCAGGAGATATGTTCTAAGACCCCCAGTGGATGCCTGAAACAGCGGATAGTACCCTACCCTATATATACTGTTTTTTTCCTGTGCATACATACCTATGACAAAGTTTAATTTATAAATTAGGCACCATAGGAGATTCACAATAAAAGTTAATAAAATAGAACAATTGCAACAATGTGTTGCAATAAAAGTTATGTGAATGTTGTCTTTCTCTCTCCAGTAGTTTTTATTTTTCAGTCTAAACCTTGTCCTGACTTGCAGCAAATGGCTTGGTGTCACTTGTTTCAGGGGTCCCTTGCTGACATCTTCATAGAGGCTCCATACTTCCTTGCACAGAATGAAGCCATCATTGGAACCCATTTTCTGTTCATGTCTTCTACCCAGAAGTTTGAAGCCTTTTCCATCCTAACAAATCACTTACTATGTATTGTGATGGTGACTTTTGCAGTTTGGATTGCAACAGCAAAACTAGCACACATGTCTGTTTCTTCACAATTTCACAAATAGAAAATTCACTCTAATTACGGATCTTAGCAGGCTCAGCACAAGATTTGTTCTCTTACATCGAGAACTTTTACCTTTTCACTTAAATGAAGCACTTCCGCCTTCTCTTTGGCATATCCGACTTGCCAGCATCACTAGTCTTGTGCGTTGGGGCCATTATTAAGTCAAATACGGGTTACTTGAATGCAGGTTAGAGATAACCAAGGGAAGTGTAAACAGCATTGCTACTCTGGATAAAGAGATCGCTCATGCCCAGGGCAGGATCGAGCTGGCCAGTTCAGGATTTAATCACACTAAGAACAAGCAATTTAAAAGTTATGAATTGTTTATTTCTGAAATTTTCCATTTAATGTTTTCGGACCGCAGTTGAAAGTTAAACCAGAGCTACTGTAATTCTTAGCTAAGAAAACAGTCTAAAACTAATGTGAAATGTGATTTAAGAAATGTCTTAAGAAGTTGCATTCTTATCTTTTTTTTACACACAGGTCTGAGGAGATTTGAAAGTTTCCTTGGCAAAGGTTTTTTTCAGAAGGTACCACTCGATAGCAAATGATTTTCCTTTGCTCATTAAGATGTTTATTCCAGCCGTAACCGGTTTGGCTCAGTGGATAGAGCGTCGGCCTGTGGACTGAAGGGTCCCAGGTTCCATTCCGGTCGAGGGTGTGGACCTTGGCTGCGGGCACATCCCCAGTCGGGGGTGTGCAGGAGGCAGCTGATCTATGTTTCTCGCTCATCGATGTTTCTAACTCTCTATCCCTCTCCCTTCCTCTCTGTACAAAATCAATAAAACATTTTTTTAAAAAGATGTTTATTCCAGACCCTAGAATCAGCCTTACCCTTTATTTCACGCGGTAATCAACATGAGGCATCCCCCTTGGAGAAGACGTGGTGACCCAGGGCTTGCTTCCCTCTTCAGCCTAGATTTCCTCCCCTTTCTCCTTATCCTGTTCTTCAAAATACTTTTTTTAAAAATTTATAATTAACATTTAGTTCTCAGTAAATCAGCTAAAGATATTAATTGGAAGACGTGTCTCTTTTTAGATGAAATTTTTGAAAAATGTATCTTCTCCAAGCAATTCTGTGGTACCCCTGTGTCTCCATAACTTTAATGAAATGTCAAGGGCAATTATGCTCTCTCTGGCAATTAAATAATCTTCAGTGTATATGACAGCTGCAAGCAATAAGTATTTGAGATATGTGTGACCAGGTTTTTTTTAATTAAGCATGGTACAGCAGTGCCCCCTTATCCATGATTTCGCTTTCTCCCGTCTCAGTTACCTGCAGTCAACCTCGGTCTGAAAATATCTATGTCATTCACCTCACATAGGCATTGTACTGTCTCACATCATCAGAAGAAGGGTGAGTGCAGTGGGTGGTATTTTGAGAGAGACCACATTCACATAACCTTTATTACAAAGTATGTATTGTTAAAATTGTTCTATTTTATTATTAGTTAATGTTGTTAATCTCCTACTGAGCCTAATTTATAAATTAAACTTTACTATAGGTATGTATGTGTCAGAAAAGTCATAGTGTATTCAAAGTTCAGTACTATCCTGGGTTTCTGGCATCTAGATCAGGAATCCCCCCTTATTCCCTGTGGATAAGGGGGCGGCTACTGTATTTATTTTGCGTCACTGTATATCACATTCTAGCAATTCAAGTAAAAGTCTCCTTTCCCTGAACTCACCTGCTCATTTTTAATATCATAAAAATTGTATAGAGTATTGTTCATTGATCAGCAAAATGAAAGGAAAAGAATGCTGACTGTAAAAGAACTCAAGATTTCTTTTCTAAAATAGGAAATTCAGTAAATGCATTGCCCTGTGAGCTGTAACTAAATAAAACTACTGTCTAAGAGCAAAATTCACATCATGAAATTTCAGACAAAAATAAATAGAGCTTGCGAACATGTACTGATATTTAATTAAAATTGTTCTAGCCTATAAATGGTATAAACCCATTACCTTCTCTTTCCCCTAAAAATAAATCTTTCATTTTGGAACAATCATAAACCACACTTTGGTTCACAGGAATGGAAAACATCTACAATAATTTTGCAAGGCCTGCGTTGTCTTAAGTGCATCATTCACAGATTGTAGATTATACTTGGTCCAGGAGGGAACAAGTAAAGTTTTCTAAACTTTTTATCTTAATTGTTTTATAAGTTGATATACATAAGCTGATGTTTTTATCAACTTCTTTCCAGATTTCATTTTGTAAGTCTCCCGTAGACTTTCTACTTTGGAGGGAGAAAAATAATTCACATTGTCAAAATAGCATAAAAACATTTCTATAAATATCCCAACTTGCAGATCTAAAATTTTTATATGAAATTCTTCTCTTTTTTTGCTTTTTCTTTTTCCCCCCAGTATTTATAATTTTATTTTTGACATGTAATGGAGGGACTCTGAACTCTAGCACCAAATGCTTACCACCAATCCTGGAATAGATTTAGGAATGTCTATTCATTTTTGTTCATCATAATTGGACTGTTTGTTAATTTAGAATTTAATCTACTTTGGAAAAGCCAAAAGTTATACAAATTCCTAGCCCAGAAGCCATGACGGGTTGATGGGTCTTTAGTTTTCTTAATATTTTATGGAGTCAGTTTATGCTTCACTACTCTTAACATTAGTGCTGAGGTTTTCTTTACAATACATTATTTTGGGGTGACATTTGTTATGTATTATAGCAGCTGTGTTTTACAATATGAATTAAGTTAGATATAAAGAGGTCCCATTTGATATGTACAAAATTGAAACATAAGGATGCCTGTCAAAAATATTATAAGGGCTCACTTTAAAGCAATGTGCTTCAATCCATGTAATAACTTCTCCGATATGCTAATTTGATGTTGTTTTTGTGAAATCATCAGGGGGGAATTTTGACAGCTCTTTTGACGCAGAGAAGGGTGTCGGGACCATTGTCATTGCCAAACCTCTGGATGCAGAGCAGAGATCCATTTATAATATGACTGTGGAAGTCACAGACGGGACAAACGTCGCTGTCACTCAGGTAAGACATCAAATTGCTCAATAGTGGGTTTGCTGAAAGGTCTGCTAAAGTCAGAGTTGTAAACAATTGAAAAATGCATTGGACATAGTAAACTAGGTCCATGGATTTCTAGTGAGAGCACAAGCTAGAAAAAGGATCCTATCATGGGTATTGCATAACCTAGCTGCTTCTTTCCAGAAATCCTGATTGTTCGTGGATGGGAGAGTGAATAAGACATCAAATTGCTCAATAGTGGGTTTGCTGAAAGATGTGCTAAAGTCAGAGTGGTAAACAATGGAAAATGCATTGGACATAGTAAATTAGGTCCATGGATTTCTAGTGAGAGCACAACCTAGAAAAAGGATCCTATCACAGGTATTGCATAACTTAGCTGCTTCTTTCCAGAAATCCTGATTGTTCGTGGACGGGAGAGTGAGATGTGTTTGTTCCCTGATCACTTGCTGTAGATCAGTGATGGCGAACCTTTTGAGCTCGGCGTGTCAGCATTTTGAAAAACCCTAACTTAACTCTGGTGCCATGTCACATATAGAAATTTTTTGATATTTGCAACCATAGTAAAACAAAGATTTATATTTTTGATATTTATTTTATATATTTAAATGCCATTTAACAAAGAAAAATCAACCACAAAAATGAGTTCGCGTGTCATAGGTTCACCATCACTGCTGTAGATCTACCTCTTTGACCTCTGACACGCGTGTCATAGGTTCACCATCACTGCTGTATATCTACCTCTTTGACAACATCAGCTTTCCTTGAATTTACAAAGAGGAGAACAGCTACATTGTCTGAGTTAACACACTGTGATATTCTTCACCTCATTTGTTAGTCACAGTAAGTTAGAGCTAGAGAATACCTAAGGGTCCAACTTCATTTTACGGACTGCGATCAGATGAGTGATATAGCTAAGGTCACACGCATTAATAAAGACAAGGACTGGGATCTAGGTGCCCGGACTCCCACCTCCCGTGTTAGCCTGGATGTCAATGGGTTGGTGGAGGGACCTAGGGGTTGTTAAAACCACTGAAACCTGGGCTCTGCCCACAGAGATCCTACAGGATTCTAACAGGCAGTCAAGGCCAAGGACCACTCCTTCGACTCTGCTACTTGAGAGCTTATGAGAGGGCATAGAATCAAGAGGAGAAAATCTTTAGGTGACACTAACACAATGTTGGCTATCAGTGTGAGGCAGATTTACCCTAAATACAACAACAGTTTTTGTTGTTGTTGTTTTTATTTTAGTATCAGATACCTTAGACCAGTTATGACAGAGGATTGGCACACACACACATGTCCTATAACCTTTCCCACTTCCCTCTCTGGTTCCCATGACCCCGAAGCCATCACTATTGATCAAAATCGTTTTCCCCACTGAGCCCAGGTGTCCTCAGAATCCTCCTCAACACAGTCCTTCAGGTAGTGAAGATGAAATGTTTGCCAGCCCCGCGGTAAGCAAGTGTTGACGTGCTTAAAATATGATGTAATCCTTTGTAACTATGTAGTTTTAAAAAGGGGAGAAGAGGAGGGGGGTTTCATGTGCTTGTCTATGCAGCTGCTTCTTAATTTGAAGAGGTTTCAAAAATATGCTGAGACCCCTTTGACGCTGTTTATAATCATAGAATGCTGGAATTCTTAGGAAACAATAAGGATTATTATAGTACAACCCTTTTACTTTTCATCTGAATAAACTGAAACCTAGAACGGGAGTGACATGCACAGGATAAGGCAGCCCTCATGTGACCGCTCCTGATCCTTTCCTGGGATGACTATAGGATCCTATTTGCCTGAGAGAGTCCCATTCACTCCTGTGGCATTGATATAATTAATAGTATTTCATTAACTCCTAAAATTGCTCCAGTTGGGACAATAAATCACATGGTCACCCTACCTAAATCTGTACAGTTTCCAGGAATTTTCAGCACACCAGGAAAGGACACTGTGGTTGACATCCTACAGGAATCACACCAGCCTAATATAAAATAACCCACTTACAGTACTGCTAAGTTTTCAGTGCTAATTCACTTTAAATGGGAATTTAAGTCAGACTTTTTAAATTAGCCATGTCTTAGCATAATATCCAACCTCAACTTTTTAGCACCACTGAAAAACACAAGATATATTTGAGTAAAATACAAATAAAGAATGGAACCATATTCATTTCCATACTTTACTCCAGGGTTTTAGAATAATTGAATTAAATGGTAATTCAGTATGCCCAGGATGTTCTAGAGAGATATTAAGTATTTTTAGAATAAGTAAATGAATAGCAGACACTACATATTCAACAGGACCTGTATGGCAGGCATGCTGGATCCAAAGCACAGAACCAATTCACGTAAAGCAAAAAAATTTTCAATGAAACTTGTATTTTAGAATTTCATTAGGACCCAACAAGAAAGCAGTTCACAGCATCCATTTCACAACTATTTCTTTATGCATACCATGTGCTAGGAGCTGCACTAGATGCCTGAGGTCACCGTGATCCAGATTTTAAAACCAGATCACTAATGTGTACCTAGTTTTTAAAAATTAATATGGAATTTATTTCAGACTAATGATTGCCAGGGCAGTTGGGAAGGAGTTAGAGAATTGGGGTGAACTTGGAGCCTCCCCTTGGTAAGGCCAAGCTAAGCTAAATTAAGTGGACTAATAAAGGATATCAAGAGATTTTCTTGTCAAAAGCTTCCAAGTTACTCTGTGTCCCCAGGGCCATGACCCTCTCAAGAAATGAGAACTAACAGTTTCCAAAGTATAAACTTGTATGTCATCATTATTACCATCAAAAAGCCATCCCTCTGTCTACCGGGCTGTGTTGGGCCTGGATACCCCACCATCCTCTGCCAATCAGCTTCTGCTCACACGTGCCACAGCCCCTCTGGCAGTGGTGACAGCAGCTGTTCTCTGAGTCAGTCAAAGCCCTCCGTGTCAAGGACACTTTTACAAGAGGGTGTTTGGGGAAAGAAAAGCATCCTAGGTTTCTTTTAGAAACCACTAAAGCATGCTCCAACCCTGACTGTAATGATTCCACCATCAAACAGATACCCTTCACCATATAACTGAATAAATGCCCCGGAGCCCCCAAGCACCTGTTCGGTTTCCCTTTGGGAACTATTCTCTACTTTGTTCATCTGGAATCATAAAACATGGTATGACACACGTTTCAATCGACCATAAACAACATGTGGAAGTCTACTTGGCGAATGTCAAATAAATCTGAGCCTCGGGGCTCTCTGTCTGCATGAAAACGCTTCCTTCATCTTCGGTTTTGCCTGTTCTCCCAACTCACAGGATTCTCGTGCCTCAGAGCTATCCTATCTGGTGATGAATAAACATCCTTTTCCTTACTGAGATTCCCCAGTGTGAGCGCTGACTGTAAAATGGTTCTGTGGAGTTCAGGTTGCAAAGATGCAGATGTACTAAATGGAAGAACAAAGCCTCCCAACATATGCAGAAACCTGGCGAGATGGACAAGGGCCTCTGCATAAAATAGTTGTTGATTTTATGAAGGACGTTACTGTACTTTATGTAACACAGCAGAGTATTTGACAGCACGGGCTCGGTAGCAATAAATCCGTGTTCTAATCCCAGCTCTTCCACGTAGTAGCTGAATTCCCTCCAGCAGGTGGAGGTCGATAAACTTCTCTGCACTCTAGTCCTTTCATCTATAAAGTGGGCAGACTCACACCTGCATCATTAGAATTGCTGTGGTTTGCATGTGTTTACAGATACAAAGTATTAGCATGAGGTCTAAACATAGGAAGTTCTTAATAAATATTAGCTACCTCTGCTAGTATTACTGTCATCACTTAGCCTAGGTGACCACCTGTATCATGGAGACTGCCACCCAGGTGGTTGTGAGACATGAATGAGAGCCTGAGACAGCGCTCTGGGGAAGGGGATGACTCAGCGCTGCATCCCAGGCTTTTCCCGGAGGACTACTCTGGACACTTGCTGACTTGTCCTGGGATGGAAGTGCAAGATGATCCCTGAAGGTAACCGCAATGCAGATCAAACCAGGCAGAACTTGTCAAGGACTCAGAGCACACCAGAGGTGCACTCCTGGGTTTTCCTAGTTCCTCCCAAGATGGCCACTTTGGATGGCTCTTTGACATTCTTCTCTTTGCCTTAAACCATCCAATATTGTTGAGTGCTTTCTGCGTTCCAAGAATTACCCCCAAGGTTTTAAAAACTTACTCCCAGTTTCTACATATATAATGTCATGGAATGGGAACAAATAGTTCATGACTGGCACCAGAAATACCATTACTCTAGGATCAAGACCAAGAAATGAATAAGGTGGAGTGGAGATTTAAAAGCCACACTCTGGTTCTAGCTGTGTTCCTTCCTGTCGAAACCTCTTGCCCAACCTCCAACCCCTGCTGCCTCCATCAAACCAATGCAAATCAGCACCCAGTTGTGCAAACAAATTAAACTCTCCAAGATAGTCTGAGAGGTGCTTCAAGCCCATGAATCTGTTTATAAAAGTTGGTGTGTATGTTCCTTTTTTTAGAGAGTAGATCCTTAGTATTCATCAGATATCCAAATGCGTATGTGGCCCAAAAATATTCGGATAAATTAATTCACCATCACTTTTTCATCACTCAGAAACTCCAGTTAAAAGTTTCAACATGCAACCACCATGCTTCCTAGGAAACATACACACCTGAGGGGGTTGTTGGTTTTCAAAGCCTCCCTGCTCTGGTGACCAAGCTGGCTGTTTCCACAGTATTTCAAATCGCTGTTGGACTGGGTTAAGAAAGAGACTAAGTTTGTCTACTAAAGCCCTGGATAGAAAACAAGAGGTTAACTCCCTTCAAGAAATAAAAAAATAGAAATAGCCATGCTATTCTTTTACATTACAGAAGTGTTCCCCACTTTGATGTTGTAGAAGCCCAGAGATGAGCATGAGTGTCTGGCTGAGAAGGGAGGGACGCAAGGGTTGAGAGGTGGTACAGTCGGTTAGAGGAACGGTGAGGAATCACAGGAGCACCAGCTGCTAC